CAATTCTAGAAAAATACTACGTTGGTAATATTTTCTAAAATTTATAAAATTTAATAAAGTGGTCCAAAAATTATGAAATTTTACCAAGTCAGCCTAAATATATTAAGTGACTTTCAGACAGGGTCAAAATTGGAAGAAAAATTTTCAGTAGATACAGAATTACCAAAACATCCTTTTTCAATTTTATTTCGAAAAATCTATTTATATTAGGAATGAATTTTCAAAAATAATGAAAATTTATTTTCAACTTCCAGTAACTATTTACACTTTTATAAATCTGAAAAATATTTTTCCAGAATTCATAAATATTTATTTCCAAAATATATTAATTATATCTCAATAATTTTGAAAAAGCCCTTTAAAGTTTTTTCGAAAATATTTAAACTATAAAAATTAAATAATTTGAAAAAAAAAACTTCTTTCTTTTTGAGAAATAATTTTCCAAAATAATTATTAGTTATTTTTGTAATTAATATATATATATATATATATATAGATATATATATATTACTCAGTAATATATATATATATATATATATATATATAATTAATTACTAACTAATCTTATTTTGTCCAATATATTTGTGAACAACTTTATTTCACTCAGAAATAATATTTCCATGTTTTATAGAGTTCATTTTGAGTTTTCAATATTTATTAAAGATTTATTGGAATTAAATCTAAACAAATACACTTTTCTCAAAAATGGAAATAAACAACTTCGAAAATTACAATATAATTTTTTCTAACCATAAAAAGACATCTTATGTTCAATAAATTTAAATTTTCAATTTCGAAATATATATATTAATATATATTTTTGAAATTTCTGAATATATATATATAATATACATATTTTCGGCACAAATGAATAAAGAATATTTGTTTCAATGATTTATCTGAGTCCTATATTTATTTCAAGACTAAAATAAATCATTTTATTAATTTTCAAGATTAAAAAATAATTACCAAGTTAAAGTTTAATTTCCAACCGTAAAATTTCTACGAAAAACTATAGTTTTGTACGTTGGCTCCGATATCACTGAAAGGTAACCAGGGTTAGGAGGGCAGCGAAAATACAAAAATTTAAGCTCCCAATAGTGATTCCTAGACCAAGAACACGTACTAAAATTGTTGGGAAAAATATTATAGATTTTGATGATGATGTATTTAGATTGTAATAGGGACTTCAGGTCTTCCCCATATTTCAATGTAATTTTGTTTTTAGAAATATTGTTAAAACCAAGTTTTTGAGCATCCATGTTTTGAAGACTTATCAAATCAAAGATATGGAAATCGGAACTCTCGCTCGGAAATATCACAAACAAGAAAGGAATTCTCAATGAAGTCAATTACTTCGGAATTCTAAAAACCGGAAGATTCATACTCTACCTGGAAGTCTCGCAGCCATCCGTATGAAGGCTAGTTATCCAGATCGGAAGACTAGCACGGATCGCTCTGTTAGATACTTTCTCACCCGGAAGTCTCAGCATGACTAATCTGGAGACATAGAAAAAACTTAAAAATTTATCTAAGTCATGAATGAAGGAATTCTACCCGTTGGCAAGGAAAAATCAAACCCTTGATTTTCAAACAGCTAGATTGAGGATAATTTAGTTGATTCAAGAACAAATGACAAGAAGACACAGTGTGGACTCCACAAATTGAAGAGCTAAGTCAGAATTCTTGAACAAGAACAAGAGGAAAAAAATAAGAGCACCACTCAATAAAGAGATACAATCTAGAATTATTGAACAAATAGCTAGAAGATGAAATCTATGAAAAAGGAATCCCTCTTCAACAAAAGCTTATGTCCAAGAGGAAACTATTCCAAGGACAATCCTCACTCCCCCCTTCGTTCAAATTGAATCCAGCAAACGCAACGGTTAATCTATTCCCTTCAACGGATAAATTAAACCATCCAACCTATATATAGCTCCTACGGAAGATTGAAAAAGGACACACATAACAACGAAGCAATCTTCCATCAATCACAGTTAACCAAAAGCTTGATAAAGAGAGAACTCAAAACTCCTTATCCAGAATCAAACTTTTCCTTCTTCCAAAGAGCTATAAGTCAAAATACTTGAAGGTTTCCTTGCCTCAAGTACAACACCAAGTTGAAGGATATATTTTTAATCAAACATATTGATTAAAATGGGGCACATCAGCTTTCTTACAAGCTGATCTTGCAAGTCCAATTGTTCGGACCTTGTAGTTGTTGAAGAAGCTTGACCTTTGAAGGAACAACAAAGCCAACACGAGTGCAGTAGCGATCAAGTCTTGATGAACTTGAATGGTGGAGAGTTTCCCCAGCGAGAAAAACAGACTCTCCACTAATATATATATATATATATATATATATATATATATACACATATATTATATTAAAACATTTTATTTTACTATTTTACAATATACAAATTAAATATTATCCCTTCTTATAATCCTACTCTTTAAATTATCCAAACTGTGTGACCCATATAGGCACTTACAAAAATGGCCACAGTATTAATTCGACACCAATGCTATAAGTAATAAGCGGTATCTAGCAACACATTATTACCCTCAGATTATAAGTTCAGACGTTTGCTCTGTCAAAACCTTTCTACGACTAAGACTTTGTATAACGTAGATCCTTTTGTCCCAATGTCTTAACTTAGTGCAAGGGATATAAAATAGCCAACTTGTAGCCATTAAGTTATTTACTGATTAACAAGTCTGACCGATGAGAACATATGTCTAAATTCATCTCAGCATGGCCATGCATTTTCTCAGTTATACTTATCAGCTGGCCCCTTCAAGACATTATTCTGCTAAAGTAGCAGTGACAAATTCTTTGTACGTAATCTATGTCTTCGAATACGCGCAACGGTATGCCCAATATGTACCATTCTTGTTTCATACGGCTTAGGACAATGAATCAAAGCATATGGGTTCACGCATTCGAAGAACATAATACTTTAAGTCTAAGGATCGTTATACCAATAATTGCATTAAGGACACTTCGAGCATAGACTAAAAGTCTAGGCAATATCCCTAAGGTGGGCTAGGTCTGGCATCTTATTATTAACGATAATATCTGCCCGAGAGTAGATGCAAACACTCCGTCATTGACCAAGGGACTAGGTCAAACATCTAACTCTCACTAGTCTCACACGCACTAACGATATCCCACTCACGTTAATGCTTTGACTATAGACCTTTTAGAATTATACTAAGTGACAAGATGTCAGTCTCAACATCAAAAGAGTCATTCTGATAAACATCTTATAATATAATTATAGGAATGCAATTAAGTGTTTACATTAGCATGAGATGTATGTAAACTTATTACATCTGCCTTTACATGATAGAAAATACTACGTATCTAAGATATTACAACAACAGTTGGCCATAAGGGCACCATCTCCGGTGACTCCGGTGATAATTAACTATAGTAGCATGCTCTCCTCATTCTTGGGAACACGGTGAGACTAATATTAGAAGGAATGGTGAGGATTTTGAGTAGCAAGGCTTCCATTATATAGTATGAAGTAGGAAGAAGAAGACATACTACAAATGAGGAGTGTGAAGAATGGATATGTAGGCTATTTGTCTCTAAATCGGTGTTGAACCTAGAACCATTAGTGCCAGCTACATGGGCAATTTGGAAGGTTCGTAATGAGGCTGTTTGGGAGTCCCAAGTACCTACTACTGATGTTGTTGTAGGATAGGCGGTTAATGCGGTGGCAACTTGGAGCGCTTGATTGCCTTCCATGCCGTGAGAACATGAAGATGTAACTATAGCCTCAAGGTTTGCAGTTTGTGAAGAGGAACTAGTAATTAAAGCTTACTTTGATGCATCTTTATTTTCTAGTTCTGAAGAAGTGTCAATGGGGTGTGTGCTGTGGAGTTCGAATAGTTCTTTTCATGCGGCTTTTAGCAAGAAGTTATGTTGTGCGATGGACCCCACATTGGTACAGGTAATGGCTTGTTGGGAGGCTCTTTCTTGGCTTAAACAAAACGGATTTCAAGTTCTTACAATTCAGACTGATTGTTTGCAAGTAGCGAAAGCTATCAACAAGGAGAGGTTGTCATCTTCATCCTACTTTGGTGCTAGTGCTCTAATTTTGGAGTGCAAGTCCTTAATGTCTTATTTTAATTGTGTCTCATGTTTCTCGAAATGATAAGTTTGTTGCTCATGCTTTAGCTAGACGGGGAATTGTTCAACCTCGTTATTGGATTGATTCTCTACCGTACTTTATTATCTCTTTGATGGCTAATTAATACTAATGTTCGTGTTTGTGTTATAAAAGAAAGTGTAAAATTTTTCAAAAAATGGAGAGAATTTATATTTTTAAATTAATTAATTTAGTAATTAATATTTAATATTAGTTTAATGAAATCAAGTTTATGAATCTAATGGTAAATACAATGCATATTAATTTTGTGACAACAATTATGTATGGAATAAGTAGTTGATACAAAGTACGGAATATTATTTTATTTAAATAGTTGTAGAAACAAAATAATATTTGTTGTTATACCAAAAAAATTATAATGAAATATATATTCATTCAATATGTATTATATGTAGTTATACGTGTAATCTCAAATATATGTTTATGTTAAAGTATTTTTTAGAATCATGCGCATAAGTGAGTATAATGTGCATATTATACGTACATAAGTATAATACACGTGTTAACTTTTTTAAACGTTATTGACTTAATTATTTTGTTCATACTTTTCTGAATTAAATTGGTCACAAAGAATCAATGCCTCCACTTTATAATGTTATTAACTAGGTAAATTTTATGGTAGACCTACCATTGACTTATGTACGAACAAAATAAGCATAATATTTTTAATTAAAAAATTAAAAAAAGATATTTTTATGTGAAAAAATTCACTAAAATGATATAGATCCAATATCCACAAAAGAAAACACTCTATCTTTTTTTTTTGAAACGAAAACACTCTATCTAAAGTAACTCGAGAGTTCTGGAAACCCGGCGCTATACTTTAATTTCCATCGGGCCTTACCCATGATCCAGATCCTTTCTCTAAGCGTTTTCTTCCACCAGACTTCGACGACACTCTAGCAGACGGCAATCAGAGAGAGAAATCGGAACGCAGATATGGTGTTGATCGAACCCGTGACATCCTCTGAAGAAATGTCGGTGAGAAATCCGCTCGTAGTCAAGGCAGCGGAAGCTTCGGCGGACGGCGTTTCGTCCGCTGCGTCTGGTGGTGCTGTTGCGGCTTCTGGATATTGTTCCGATGGTTATGAGACTGCTAGCGAAACTGAACTTAACGAGTCCGATGAGGCAGAAGGGAAGGAAGGTGAACACACCCACAGCCATAGTAGTATACCAGAAGAAAAAGTAAAAAATGATAATACGAACCCTGCAACAAAGTTGTCTACTTCTGCTGGGCATGAAGAGGGACAGGACCATGAAACCGAACCGGATATGGATAAACTGAATGAGGTTCTCCCATTCTCAATAGATTTGTCCTGAAAGCTTATATTGCTTAGGCATATTTGCATTCGATAATTTTGAATGATGCAAGCTAAATGTTAGAGTCACTATATTTTATATAAATTGATGTTATTATATCGTAATTAATGGTATTTGTTAGTGCCTTATAATAAACTTGCTTTGATTGGGTGTGTTGATTATATTTACCCTGAGTAGGTAATAACAATCTCTGGTACTTATGACCTCCCTACATATGTTGCTATATTTTTATGTTTTTATCAATGTTAGGTTTTGATATTCTGAGTACACATACATTTCTTCATTTCTTGTATGTGTATTGGGAAACGTAGGAGCTGGGAGCCGCGCACAATTATTATGCCGCCCCCTTTTCGTGGGATCCAACTGGGTTGTTGTTGTTGTTGTTGTTGTTGTTGTTGTTCACTTGCCCCCTGTTTGGCTGTTTGTTTGAGAGGAAAATTGACTATAGGAAGTGTTTGGGGCTTTGGGCAATTGTGTGGTAGTGTTCCTTCTCTGTCACCTGATGCTAATTCTGTGTTCCCTGTTTCTTTAGTTGTAGTTAATGTGTTTGTTAACAATCTACACACAGAAAAAAATGTATGCATACACAATAACATACACACATATACATATATGTACACACACAACCCCTGTGAAGCTGCATATGTGTTTGATTCATGTGTTATACCTTTTGCTCTTTCATAGTGAAAGCTGTTTGCGACTGAGTTATTGACATCAATTCCCGTGTTTGATCATCAGACTGCAATTGGTCTGGCTAATGATCTCAAGCTTGAAGGAAATTCATTGTTCAGGGATGGGCTTCATGAAGAGGCATTATTGAAGTACGAGCAAGCTTTGCAAGCTGTGAGAAATGCTCCTATGTCTACTGAAATTCAATCAATATGCCATGCAAATCGTGCTTCTTGTTTCTCTAAACTGGTAAGTTTGTTTCTAACAAGCGTTCTAGACCGATCTTCGTGGTGCTAGTTTCTTCAATGGGTTTGGACTACAAGATCAATCTTAGGGTGTTTTTTTCTCTGACTTGTCCAAAATACATGTCTGACAGTTTGATTAATATAAACTCATTTAATACTACTCTCTCCATTCTATAAAACAGTCATATTTCATCAACCCATCAAGCTACAACCTTTGATTTTTAGTAAGGCACAACAATTGGAAACCATCAATGATATTATAATTTTAAACTTATTTGTCGGTCTAACTAAATTTACAGCAACAACAATAACAACAAGAAACCCATTCGAATCTCACAAAAAGTAGGTTTCGGGGAGGGTGTATGCAGACTGCAGAGCTTCCCCTTAATTGGAAGTAGAGAGGGTGTTTCCAAGAGACATTTTACTCAAACACAGAAGCACAGAATAGACACAGAAGCACTAACACAGTAAGAGCATTGTGAGTTCGTGACAAAAAGGACACATATTAACCCTAGCAATTAGACTCAAACCACAAAAAGCACACATACACAAGCTAAATACTAAATTTAAAACACACAATAAAAACAACAGAGTAAGGCCCAAAGGTCTACCCAACCACTCTAGTCCTTGATTTCTGTGTGCTCTTTTCTAAGGTCATATCCTTAGTAAGATCTCGAAGTTGTAACTTTTGTCTAATTGCCTTTTTCCAACTCTTCTTGCGTCTACCTGCTTCCCCTTCCCGACCAGAGTCTTATTTTATCAAAAAACATTAACCATATTGAAAATAAACTTCTTTTGCCCAAACAACACTTGTTTTTATTAGAAAATAAGTTTTAAAATAGCACACTTGTTTGGAATGGGGGAGAATAATCAGAGTGAGTTAGTGTGTGTGTGTGTTAAATTTTTTTTTATCTCATAGGAAAAACAGGTACAAGGGGAGGACAAGCACCAAAGGCCCTTAAATGAGTGTTTATCATTTTAGTGTTTCTGTGTGTGTGTGTGTGTGTATTTGTGTGTGTGGGGGGGGGGGT